TCTTTCAGAGCATGGTATCTGAAAAACAGCAATGCAAAAGTAGTTTTCTTCACGACTTCTTTCCTCTGCTGTGGAATCTACTACAAAGGAATAAACCCGGCCTGTCAGTGGACAGTGCAGCAGACACTCCCTGTGAGTGCCCCGCCCGTGTCCCCGGCCCCCACGCCCTCCAGCCCCAACCCCACGCCTGGCACCGCCTGTGGGGTTTCTTCCACAGCTGAAGCCCGCCAGTCTGGGGAAGCCGGGCCTTTCCCAGGGAAAAGCACTCGGCCAGTGACTGATGGGGGACTCAGCTCCCCGAGATCCCACAGCAGGGACTGGCGTCTTTTTTGACCGCCTCCCCTTCCTGGACGGTTTCCCACCTCTGCCTCGAGTTTCCTTCCCCTCTGATGGAAACTACTTCCCCTCAAATGCCTGTCTTTGGTTTGGAGAGGACCCTAAACTAGGACTTTCAAAAGTGCTTATACATATATTATCATATTTTATCTCAAACAACTACGAGGTAAGAAAAGTAGTATTAGGCGCATTTCACAGAGGACCAGAGTAACTTGCCCTAAATCCCACAGCTGATAAGAGGCAGAACTTAGGAAGAACTCAACCCTGTTTCCTTTCTCTGCCTGAACACTTCAGGTCTGCGGGCCAAAGACTTCACTTGCTCTTATGTAAACTTCTTTTAAAGCACAGAAAATGCCTCAGAGTAAATCATGTTTTCTAAGGTATATTTTAAAAAATGATTATATCCCAACTATTTACATAGCAATCGTATTTGCTGATGGCATTCAATATATATACAACCATTCTAAACATTAAACTATAGGTCACTGTGATCCTTTGAGCATATATGCTAGACGGAATGGTTTCTTTGGCTATGAAATACCTATGACAAAATTCTATCTAAGCCTCTCTATAGCTCTATAGCCAGGCTTCTCATTTTTAACCCCCTGTCATTTTGTGGCTGATGATTCTTTGTTGGGTGCTGCCCTTGGCATTGCAGGATGTTTAGCAGCATCCCTGGCCTCTGCTACTAGCTGTCACTAGTGGGTACATGCCCCACACCCAAAAGTGAATCCAGAAACTACCACTGTCCCAGGGAAGGGGGATGGAATTCATCCCAGATCGTATGACACGAGTTTTACAGCCCGAACATCCCTCACATCTTCATGAAAGACAGCTAATCTGTAAGGGCACTCCAGTTTAATGTTGCATTGGAATGAAACCATTTCTATCTACCTCGGTATTTTACAAGCAAAGGAAAGATGTACCTGGAAGTCACAGGGTTCCAAAGTAAAACGTGTGGGAGAAGTAACAGTAGCAGTGAATCTCACACTTCTGGAACATTGCTTAGTGGTGTTACACAGAAGGAACCCAGGCTTTTCAGGTTCTGGCCCGACGGTGGGGCCTGTGACCAGCCAGTATTCCCCACTAACGGTAGCTCGGCAGAGCCACGGTGGCATGAGGCAGAACACAGACCACTCTGGTAAGAAAGAGATGCTCTGTGATGTAAAACAGTATTTCTGGGGAATAAGTAGAATAGATGTAAGCATTCTGGTGAAAACATAAAATGAACTCTGATGCTCACAAACACAAAACCTCTGCACCAATGTCCACTTCAATCGATCTGATGTCAGTGAAAGTTCTGCACTTTGGCTTAATAGCTGTACTTTGTAGTCTCGTTGCCTGTTGTGCATTTTGGTGAATATCAGTGTTTTAACAAAAATGCAGACAGAGGTGCATCAGGCACCTGTGGTCTGCCACCATCAAACCCTGAAAAATCTCTCTGCACTTCTGTTTGGCTGTTGGTTTGTACAGCCTCTTCTTGGGAATGTACACATGAGAAGCGTTCCCTCTGTTAAACTGTGTGTATGCAGAATGCTTCATATATATTGGCTTAATGTAAGAAAAGACCATTCCATTTTCAGTGGCCATTTAAGCTCTCTACTTATATTTTGGATGTCTAGCTTGGCTTTTAACATTCTGCATTTCATATTTGTCATTATATATATATAGCTACATGCAACAGAATTCTCTAACCAATTAGCCACAGATGGGCAGTTTGCTGAACTGTATAATGTGTTCACTCTCGTTGATGAGGTAGTGACTTTCATTGGTACCTAATATTTTATAATTTTCTAAATTTCCATAATGAGTGCTTATTTTATAATCAAAAAGTACACTGTAAATGCAGAAGTTGAAATTAAAAAGTTAAAGCATCATATTTCAAAGAATATTCTGAATAATCAAGTACTAGAGAAAAGCAGATATTAGAGAAATACATTCCAGGATGGCATTTAAGCATACATATGTTTAGGGCCTTATTAATTCTTACCCATATTAAAGAACTGTTTGTCAATATTATGGAGATTTCATGATCTTTTACCCTAATTTAATTAGTCAATCTCTCATACAGAAAATACGTTTCACCCAAGATTTATATATTTAAGACCCTTAGATTTCTTGAAATTTCTATAAAAAATTTTAAATAGATTTTATCAAGATTAAACATTAGTCACTGTTGCTAATATTTCTAAACTTTAAGTTTATATTTCAAAATAATGTAGTCTAATTACTATCAACTTTTTCCTCAAATGACTCTCAGTCGTGTTACATTGTACGCCCTTCTAATCTTACCTTTATTACTTTCTCTTGGAATATTACTGTTCCCCATTTGTAAAATTTTATTCTGTATCACTGGAAAGGGTACATAAATAGCCTCATTATAGTTATTTTCAAAAACATAAGTCCTTCATGAAAATTTCTCTTGAGAAATATATAGAGTTTAAAACACGAAAGTTACCAAAGAAGTAACTGCTACTTTTCAAGTTACAGTCTGAAATTTAAACACACATATTATAAAGAAAAACGCTGACCAGTAGAATGCTAATAGTAAATCATTGTTTAAGGAAAAATCCTGAACCAGCAACCATTTCATTTTATAAAGCAAAGTTAATCTCCTATTTTGTTCCAGTAGTATAAAAAAAAACATTATGCAAATCAATTTGTTAAAATTTAAACCCCAATCTCCTATTTCAATGTATGCTGACATTAAAAAGGAGGAAGTTTCCCTGCAATTTGTTAAAGGTGGACAGGTGAAGAATCACACAGCCACGGGCAACGCTCTTCTGCCCAGTCCAACGTGCTGTGTGGGCAGCTGGCAGGCCCCGTCCGTACTGCTTACAACCAATCGCTCACACAACCTCAAACTCTATCTACGTCTCTTTGGCCAAGAGTGCATTCCTGCAATCGTCTCTGTGGCAAGAAGTACCTATATTTCCAAGACCTATATGATTGTTTCCCCTTCAATTCCTAATACTCTATTCAAATACAAGGTGATGAAGGCTCAGGACAAAATTTATCTTTGAAATATTTTGGTTATACACGTAAAGTTCATCATTTCTATTACTTTTGATTAAGATACAGAAAAGCTAAAAGCATTTCCCTTTTAAGAGTAGAGAAAAATGTACTTACTAATGTGCCATGTGGGCCTCATTAGTAACTGAGGCCTTTTCCTAAAGGCCACGCCCATCTCTGTGAGCAAAATGATAATGCATTTGTGGGATGCTTTGAAGGGGAGGTAGTAATTCATTGCTCAACAACAGCTTCCAATATAATATTAAAGTCACTCAAATTACTCCTCTCTCTAACGACAGATTTCAAAAACATATACAAATAGCAGAAACCATGCTGGAATTACTACAGTAGCTGATTACCCAAAAAGCCCCATCTTGTCTCCATACCCTTGCCCCCTACAGGAGAAACCTGAAAATGTTCGCAACCACATGAGACTAGACCATTACATAGTATCGATGACTGTAACTCTGATCATTTGCAGCTAGTCCCTAACACCTGATTTGGGAGAACATACAAAAGATAAATTGAATGATATCCCTATATTATAGTTCTACAAAGAAGTTCAGAGAAAATTACTAACAATGTAGAAAGACGAAATACATGTAACTTGTTAGCTCTCTTTAATGTCATAAATATATAAAGTACTATAAGCAATGAGATCAACACCTCATAAGCAATGAATAAAAAAACCTAAGCTTCCATTAGTTACATTTATATCTACAGAGAATTTATAACATTGTTTTACTCTGCTCAGAACTGCAGTTTTAGAAATTAGCAATTATTATTTTAGGTGTGATAGTATTATTGTGGTTATGACTTTTAAAGAAGACCTTATGTTTTTAGAAACATCTACTGAAATATTTATGTGTGAAATGATATGGCGCTTCAGAAGAATTCAACAGTGGGTAAAAAGAATTGGGTGAGAGAACAGATGAACCTCTATTGGTCATGAGTCGGTAATCGATTAGGTTTGGTGATGGGTACACAATAGACATCATTACAGTATTCTCTCAAAATCTAATTTCCAAAAGAAAATAAGGCACATTTTCAAGTGATTATTAACCTTCACCAATCTAAGACTCAAGCCTCAAAGATAGTATTTTGCAGAATTGATCTATTACAATACTTCCCACCAACCGAAAGGAAAGGGAAGACAAGTTACATAAATTCAGTAGCAGTTACTAATGTGAACTCTGCTAGTGATTAACTACACATCAATTTCACTTTTAATTTTGTGGCAAACAGTTCCTAGAATTCTAAAACAATGACTGCCAGAGTTCTTAGTACTGTTTTAATTCATCTCTTCTGAAATAAATTAAATTTACCATTGATGGGACACTGGCTACAAACTATTCCTATTTTCTCTTGTGACATTATATATTATTGCCATAACAGCATATACAAAATTGAAAAAAAGGTGTTTGCATATAAATTTGATGTTGTAGGTACAGTGATTTTTCATCAAAACTGAAACAGCTATCGTACTAGTATGTACACAGACACACACACAAACATACACGGCAGAGGTAGTAAAGGAGAAGAGAAAGAACTGACTTACCTATGCAATCCTTTCTTACTAAATAAGCATACTTAAATTCTTACATAAAGCAGAACTGAAGTTCAAAATAGTGATGCTTAGGACATGCACCTACCACTTGTCCATTGTGCGGGTTCTTATGAGCATACGGAGGTCCGCGGATATGATTCCACATCTGACCCGAAGTCATAGCAAAGACTATACACTGAAAGAAAGGGTACAATGTGTTTCCATTGTAGTAGTAATTGTCTCATTTTGTTAATTCATACAACTCATGCTATTTTGCAAAAAATAGGAAAAAAATACAATGTGATAACATACCAGGGATACCATGGCCCAACCAGTCTTGTTGTAGATGAACTCCAAGTTGTTCCTCCTTAAATAGAGCAAACCACCAACCAGAGACACCAGCAGGGCGAGGGCGATGGTGCCGGAGTAATTCGGTGGTCTGAACACGCGAATCTGCAAAGATGCAGCGGGAATTTGAAGTGAAAGAAAAAGACTAATTTCTTCTCTTGCCCATATTCTAAATTCTTCAATGCAAATATTTATGAAGGGGCTACCTTAATTTTCATACCTGGCATTAACGTACCTGTTCCTCTTTTGAAGTAAAAAATATGTACCTTAAAACCTCATGGCAATGTAAAAAGTCTGCTCTTCGTTTTAGGTGAATATGGATAAACATATGCAACACCTACTTGTATTCAACCCAGAGCTGTTCCGATTAATCCATGGAACATAGGATCATGGAGTAAAGAGTAAAGGCGAGGTGGGGGTATAATATTTGTATTATTTCAGGTTAGGACTTTTTAAAAAAGGCTTCTTACAAAGGGCTTTATTGAGACATAACCCACATACCACACAGTTCACTGTTCAAACCACACAAGTCAACTGTTTTCAGCACATACACCGCCATGTGCGACCGTCATCACAGTCAGTGTCAGAAGATCAGAACCACTTCGAAGGGAGGCCCATACAGGCCCTTTAGCATTCACTGATGTGCTTTCTGTCTCGACAGACTTATCTATTCTGAATTTCCATACAATATGTGGCCTTTTGTCACTGGCCTCTTCCTCAGCATAGCGTTTTCAGGGTGCATCCTTGTTGTGGCATAAATCAGTACTTCATCTCTTTTCATGGGTGACCACTCCATGGTATGCATATACCGCATTTTACTTACCCATTCATTAGCTGAAGGTCATGGGTCTTTTCTACCTTGTGGCTACTATGAGTCATGCTGCTAGGCACAGTCTCGCACAGTGTTTTGTGTGGGTATATGTGTAGGAGTGGAATTGTTGGGTCCTATGGTAACTCTATGTTTAATAGTTTGAGGAACTGTCCATCTGTTCTCCAAAGTGGCGACACTATTTTGCCTTCCCACCAGTAGTGTAAGAGGGTTCCAATTTCTCCATTTACTTGCCAACATATATTATCTCACTGATTGCAGCCATCCTTGTGTGTGAAGTGGTGTATCAATCTGGTTAGAACTGCAGTGCCCTGATGAGCATCTTTATTAGACATGTGTATACTTTCCCTGCAGAAATGGTGATTTGGATCCTTTACCCATTTTAATTAAATGATCTTTATATATTTTATATATTGAGTTGTAAGAGCCCTATAAATATACCAGATGTCAGTCCCTTCTAAGAAAACAATGATTTGCATATATTTTCTCCCATTCTGTGGTTGTCGTTTCACTTTCATGATGATGTGCATAAAGGCTACTTTTTAAAAGGAGACATAATTCATAAAGAACTCATGATTTCACAGTATGTACAGATCTTGGTTCTGATAACATTCACCACTAAAAGAAACCAAGGCTCCTAGGAGACATGGCTAATTAAGTGCTGGGTAGGGCAGATAAGTAGATGCCAGATGGGCCTGAAATAGATCAACTGGTGTTTATCATACTCCCTGACCTCAAATGTTACTACAGACCTACAGTAAGCAAAACACTATGGTATTGGAAAACCAAAGGAAAAAAATTAAGAGCCCAAAAAGAAACCCACAAATATATGGGCAAAAAATATTTGTTTTTAAAAAGATTTTTAAAATTTATTTTAGAAGGGAGGGGGGGAAAAAGAGGGAGAGAAACATCAATGTGTGGTTGCCTCTTGTATGCCCCCTACTGGAGACCTGACCTGGCCCACAACCCAGGCATGTGCCTTGACTGGGAATTCAATGGCAACCCTTTGGTCCGAAGGCCAACATTCAATCCACTGACCCAAACCATCCAGGGCACAAAAAATGTTTTGATAAAGAAGGCACAAACAAACAATACAGTAAGGAAAGCCTCTTCAATAAATGGTGCTGGGAAAATTGGAGAGCCACATGCAAAAGAATGAAACTAGACTGCTGACACCATACATAAAAATTAACTCAAATATAAGGCCTGAAACAAAGAGAAAACATAGGTACTAAACTTACAGAACTTGGTCTCAGAGGAGCTTTTGTGAATTTGACCCCAAGGTCATGGGAAGTAAAGGCAAACATTAATGGATGGAACTAGATCAAACCAATAGTTTTTGTACAGCAAACAGAAACCATCAACACAACAAAAAGGCAACCAACCAAATGGGAGAAAATATTTGCAAACAATATCTAAGGGACAAATATCCAAAATGTATAAGAACTCATACAACTCAACAACAACTCAAACCACTCCAATGAAAAATGCGAAGAGAACCTGAACAGATACTTTTCCTAAGAAGACATATAGATGACCAACAGATGCTCAACACTCTTGATGAAAAGATGCACAACTTCACTAGCTATAAGGGAAAGGAAAATCAAAACTGCACTGAGACACCACTTCACACCTGTTAGAATGACTACTGTCGAGGCAAGAAGTAACAGGTGTTGGAGAGGACGTGGAAAAAGGAAACCCTCATCCACTGTGATGAGAATGTAAGTGACACAGCCTCTGTGGAAAATAGTCCAGAGGTTCCTAAAAAATTAATAAAAGTTACCATGTGACCCAGCAATCCCTCTGCAGGGTTATCTACCTGAAAAAAATTGAAAATACTTAATCATAAAGACACATGCACGCCTATGCTGATTACAGCATTACGTACAAGAGAAAAGCCATGGGAAAACCTAAGTGTCTTTTGACTGATGACAGGATAAACAGAATATGGTACCTATATACAATGGAACACTACTTAATCATAAGAAGGATTAAATATTGCCATTTGTGACAGATGGATCTTGAGAGTATCATGGAAAGTAAAACAGGTCAAGGGAAAAGGATAGAACCATATGATTTTACTCCTATGTGGGGTGTAACACAGAAAGAAAGAAAGAAAGAAAACACACATACACACAGACACAGACAACAGTATGTTGTTACCAGAGAGGGAGCAGGGCTGGGATGCAGAAGAGGAAGAGGGTCACACATAAGGTGGCAGGGGAGTCTGGACTTTGGGTGGGGAGCACAGAATGCAATATACAAACAAGGATAATAAAACTGCACACCTAAAACTTCCATAAGGTTATTAACCCAGGTTACTCCAGTAAATCCAATTTAAAAAATAAAGTGACTTCCTCTTTAAAAAGTTTCTATGGCTAAATAATTTCAACCACCCTCAATTGTATCCTGTAAATTCCATAAAGATATGACACCTACTTCTAGTTATACCAATTTATAGTCCCAAGAATAGTAAATGTGGCATTTTCTCAGCTCATGAAAAGAGTGTTATCCCATTTTTACTTGCCCAAAAGATAAAAATTATATATCTTGCTTTTTAATTGAATTCTTTTGATTGTTAATACCACTGAGAAATACTCAGCATATTTTTTACCCTCTGAAATTACTTTGTGGCTAACTCACATACTGTTTAATGATTCCTAAGATACCACTGTTCTAAAAACCATTTAAATTCACCTAACTCAGCCAGAGTTTGGCTTACACCATATAGCTATCCGACAGTTTTCTCTAAGCAAGGAAAAATGCTGCACAGAGAAATTTAAAAAATCCTGTGGCTCTAACCAACCAAACTAATTAGCCGACTATTAAAACTGTGGGGAATAAAAACATACATGAACATCCGTCCTGTCAGCAATCCACTTCGCTAGCTGTTCAGCGGCAAATCCGATTCTTTGAAGGTCAAACGTATCAGCTCTCTTAGGTCTGCCTTTGGGAGGAAAATGCATGAATGTCGGAGCAGAGTTCATGTTGAGCTGAAATACATGAGGCAAGAAAATACTAAATATAGCATCAGCCCAGCAATCTTTTTTTATCCTTAATCTAACATTTTCTTTCTTTCTGCATGAATTTTGGGAAGATAGAATTTATTATGAAAACTCAAGTGGTTTTCAGAGCTTAATTACTGATTTATTCACCTTAATGCACTACTTAATAAAAAAGAACTTATAAATTTGGCTGTCTGCTGAACCTTCACATTTAATGTACATACATCATTCATATTCTCAGCTCTATCCTCTATATTTTATCAGCCCTTTCATTCTTTGTCTATCTTGAAGTCTGTGATTAAAGTAAAGAATGAAGTCATTTAAAGTGCAAAATAGAAATATTGTGATTTGGCAGCACTATTCCATTTCTTGAGTGGTTATTAAAGAAAAAGTACTGGCATTGAATGAACAATATAAACATACGATGGCCTCAATTTCAAACAAATTAGTAGTAGATTGACTTCTCTGTTAAATTTGAAAAACTGTTTAAAAATGATAATGACTACAACAGAAGCCAACATTTTGGCCCTAAACAACTTGAATGTATCCAACTGTTTCAGAAATTCACCATGATAATCTTTTCTGTTCAATTATCTATTAATTGAACTGTCTTGAAAAGGTTATATCTCACTGTTATTTTCTAAAGGTAAATTCTACTCGAAAAGTATATGAATAGAATACTAGCATAGTATAAATGGTGCTCATTAAGAATATAATATCTAAAAACAATTATTAGATTAACTTATATTGAGGAGTAAACTGCAAAAATAAACTTCTTGCTGCCCAAGAATTGTGAAATTAGAAGCCAAAACATTTTTGGCCCTGACTTGAAGCATAGTTTGGCATTTCCCATAAAAAGCAAAGTCAACAGATGCTAGACCCCGGTTGATATGGAGGTAAAGCCAGGGCAGTGTGAGCAGTGAGCTGGCGCATGATGGACCTTTTAACACATTTAAAGTGGAACAAGAGTCACCACTTCCTTTCTTCCTGGCATGTTCTCCACTCCAGACCTTGTTCCAGGGTGACTCCCTGATAGATGGGTACACCAGGGATAGCTACAGCTCACGTGTAAATGTATGATTTCAAGGGAAGAAGTCCCCGCACTGAACAATCAGAAAATCCATACTAAGGTTTAACATTCTAGAATTTTAGAATTAAAAAAAATCATAATTCAGCTTTCACCTTAATTAAAACGTACAACTCCCCCAAGGATACAATACAGCAGGGGACAACCCGGGACTGATTTCTGGTCCAGAGCTCCTTCTCACACGCCATTTTCATTAACTCCCTGGCCTGGTGGTGTTGGGCACTTAGCCTTGGCCATCACATGGGAGTCAAGTGTACTTGTCCAACAAGTCCCCGGAGTGCCAGGAATTGCCGAATTTCCGCACTTGTTATTAATACTGTTTTCTGACACCACAGTACTGCTGACAGTACTTCAGAACATCAGTGTAGAGAGAGGACTTCAACAAAATGTGATTCAATAGTGAGCGAAAACATAAGGACTGAACTTCTTTTAGTGGGTCTCAAGTAAAACAAAATAATATACTTTTCCATTTTTGTGGATTGTAATTCCCCATACAAATCATTAACTGCTATAACTTTTATGCATTTCTGCATTTGCAAAGGAAAACCCTTATTGCTGAGCCGAGGGCGAGGCTTGGAAGAGAGAGACAGAGCATATTCACGTTCGTGATTCTGCTGAGTCGGAATTAACCTGAGGAAATGTTTCAATTAAAAGCAATCCTGACTTTAACTCGCATATCTGTGCCAAACTTTAGAAGGTGTTTAAAGCCTAGAAAAGGTTTCGGCGATTGTGTCCAACAGCACAGCCATACGGCTGGACACTGACCGGCAGCCTACAGCCCATCCGGGCGCAAGGGCAGGGCTGCCTGGCCCACAGTTTTGTTTAGTCTGAGTCAACTGCCAATATTTTAAAGACAGGAAGTGCATATAGACATTTGTATTTGGATCTCCTCTTGAAAAGCGGATCTATCTACGCGTGGCGTGTGTTTCTTCCATCTGGAGTTGCATCTCTCACAGAGGTCAGGTTTGTCTCTCCAGTTTACTGCGGTTCCCCACCCACACCAAAGTGTATCCTCAACAGTGAGACCCAGGGTTAGCTGCGTTGCATTTGCCAATTTTATTTCTTACCATAGTTAGGAGAAAAGTAAAATATGAGAGGTTCCATGAAAGATTGATTTTCTTGAAAAAAACTAAGATTTTTGTTGTAATAAATACAGAAGAATATTTACTTGTGCAAATGAAGAACTAATGTATTTAATACACAAAGTATGTACATAAATAAAAATACCATAACAACGTGAAACAAATCCAACCTACTTTTCTTGTCTAGTTTACAGCCCGGCCAGGACAGAGGTGGGGCTGGAAGCTTCTGCTCCAGCAGTCAGCTTGGGTCTGGGTGACTAGTTCTAATGTGGCAGAGAGGAGTCATGTATATACAGAACGAACAGCACTTGCCTCTGATGATCTCTAAGGCCAATTCTGAGATTCTGTAGAGACTTACTAATTACAGGAAGGAATATCTGGTTCTTCTAGTACTGTCGTTTTCCTTTATGAGGTTATTTGAAGTTACATGTTTATGTATGTGTTTTTCTTTATTTTCACGGTATTACTATTACTATCATTATTAGCACCCTAGTCTGTAAGCTCCTCATGGGGAAGAACTGTGTGTGCTTTTCTTGCCTATTCATTGCTCCTACAGAAGGGTAGGTGCTCAATAATATTTGAATAGATGAACAAAAATAAACACCCTCAAAAAGCCAAATAAATTTTTGGAGGACAAAATAAGTGAAGAATACTAAAAGACCAAGGGTAAAGGGTAGTGAAGGCAAAAGAGGGAATTTATCCTACTCGGCTAGAAACTGGCAAAAATGAACAAATAACCAATCTGGAAGCAAACAAGCAAAAATACTCTAAAATGACCCATTTACAGTTAGTGGGCTAGACTCTTTACAGAACTGCATGCTTTCCCCAACCCAGTAAAGCATTATGCCAAAGAGCGTCATATGTTGAGAAAAATAAAATAGACCAAGGTATCCACACTAATCAATGATGCCTGGTAGTGCAGTAAGCTTTACACCTGAAGGTACTGACACCTGACTATCTGTACATGACAATGTGTTGGTGTGCTCAGGCTGCTGTAACAGAACACCACAGGTGGGTGGCTCAAAGGAGAGAAACTTGTCTCCTCACAGTTCTGGAGGCTGAGCATCTAAGATGAGGTTCCAGAAGGGTTTGCTGCTGGTCTGAAGAGGGCCACCTTCCTGCTGTTTGCCCTCACGTGGCCCTCTGTCCTCTGTGCACACACGCCCCTCGTAGCTCTTCCTAGAAATCACATCTAGGAAGTGGTGTCCTCCTTCCCACCAGCTGAAGGAGGGGTCAGGGTCCCATCCTTAGAATGGCATCTAACCGTAATTACCTCCTTAAGGTCCCTGTCTCCAAAAATGGCCACACTGGGGCTAGGGCTTCCACATATGTATTTGGGAGGGACCCAATTCATTCCACAACAGAGAACAAAGATCTTTTAAAACATATCTAATATTTCATTTGTAAAATTATCTGTATCTCCCATATGGGGAGAAGTGAAGGTTAAGTAAAACCTTACATTGACTTTTATATAAAATTTCATAAATTTCTGCACAATACTACCTTAAACCACATACAATTAAACATCCAAATACACGTAAGGTTAATGCAGGTAAACTGTCACTGAATGCTGAAAAAACACACTTCCTCCACCATGCAAAAGTTAAATGAGTTTACCCTACTCACTACTGGCAAACACTATTCAATGATAAAAATCTGCATTTTAATCACATCGAATAATTTATTCAAACTACTGTTTTATTTAATTAACTTATTCAATAAATCGCATTTTATGTGACAGACCAAAAGGTATCAACATAAGCAACTCTTGAATGTATTAGAAAAACAGAATTTCCCTGTTACCTGCTGGAAAACATCCGTGCCCTCGTCATAGTCCACCATGCTGAAGAAGAGTCTGTTACAGAAGGCGGATGAGTAGCGCCAGGAGTTGGCCAGGATCTGGTACTCCTCATTAGCCTGCCTGGGGAGAAGGACGGAGAAGAGCAGAACCGTGTCAGGACCCCAGGGCTAACAGAGCCGTTCGACAGGTTAATTCTGGGGAGGAGTTGGCTGGGTTTGGTAACGGAAAGCACACTAAGAATAACTTTTTAAAATATTTTTAAATGGTTGTAGAAAATTTTTTTAAATGAACTATTCCATGACATGGGAAAACTATACAAAATTCCACTTTTGTAGTTCATAAATAAAAGTGTACTTCTCCAGAACCACAATGATTCATTTATATTTTTTTCTGGCACTATTTTGCTATATAAGGGCAGAGCTGAATGGTTGTAACCGAAATGCTATGGGCCAAAGCCCATCCGGGCACCTGAAAGTTCAACAACTCTTATTCTAGAGGATAAAATCATTCTGCAGCATCTCATATACATATCTACATATGTGTGTATGTGTGTATATATATTTAAATCCTCTGATAATTTTAGTAAGAGATACAGAGCTTTTTAAAGAACATTTGCAATTCAGTTTAACAAAGAAACAGTAACCATGAGAACATACTTTAAAATTGTAAATACAGTTGTACTGTACTTTTATATATTCCACTTATCTAAAAATACATTTGCATTCAAACCTAAAAGTAAGCAAAATGGCACAAAGAAGCAAACAGTACAAACAAGCCCTCCTTTAAGAGCATATTTCCATTTATTTTAAATAAATTTCTGTTGGATATTTTATTGACTTCTCAATAATAAAGCTCTATCCCTAGGTGTAGGAATGGGGTAGGAACAGTGGAATTGTGTTTGGAAGGATATCAGCACAGTAATGGAAACAGAAAACCAGTAAGCGATTGCTAAAACATTAATAAAACAACAGAGTTCTTCTTCCATGCAGTTGTACCTGATTAATCACAGGAGTTTGGGGGACTCCCTCTCCTAAAAATGAAAGTAAAGAAATAAAGTATTTCTTTTAAAAAATAACGATATTTGTTATTTGTTAACAAATATTTTTGTTAACAATTAACAAATTTGTTAACAATATTTGTTAACAAATAACAAAGGTACTTGCAGTAAAAGTCAGCAACAGATAAGAGATTCCAAGAATATCTGGAAGATAAATTAGTATAAAAACTTTAATGGAGAAAGCTACACTCTCAAAGGGGACCACGGGACAAAGCTAGGAAAAATACTGGATCAGAAGCAGCAAAGATGCTGGGTCTGAGATCTTATCTTGTGAACAAGCGAGCCTGTTACAGTTTCATGGATGCTGGCAGAAGACCCGAGACTCCTGGGTCAGAGACAAAGGAACGTGGCATTAATTCACATTTGTTTGCATCGAGTCCCTGTGCCCCCCTGGTCTCACAGGGTGACACAAAAGGTCCTGTGTGGCTGCCTGCACACACCACTGACTGTGCCACCAAAGAGGAACACTAATAACTTGTTATCAAACAAGTTTGTTTGATAACAAACTTGTGCTATGTTCAATGGGAGACATGATCTCACTACTTAAGCTTGTCCTTGCACACATGACACTCTGTATCCTTGGCACACCAGCAAGGACGTGCTGCTTCTCCCAAACGTACTCACACACACACACAGAGAACAATGTCATGCAAAAAGGGCACGAAGAAAATAAAAGAGAGCACTTAAAAATTTTAAATACAAGTGTTCAAATTATATCACTATCAGAAGATTGATTTCATTAAAATTCACAATACAAAAAGTGATATAGGAGGACTATATTGGCGGTAAGGGAGAAAAAGGGACCTAGAGATTTAATCCAATAAATGAAATTTTCAAACAGAAGGACACCCAGCAAGAGAAGAGAGTCAAAGTGAAGGAAATGTTTCTGGAGACCGAACACAATTCAAGGAGTTTAAGTCTTCAAATTGAAATTATTTTCCAGGTTCTGAATAAAAGGAATTAGGAAAGATCAACACCTGGATGTATTGTAATACTTCAAAACATTACAGATAAGAAGATCCTAAAAGTCTTCAAAGAAAAAAATACGTAGCAAAGGCTGACAATGAGAATGGGACCAGACTGGTTGTAGCAACACTAGATACTGGCAGATAACAGATCAGTTCCTTCGCAGTTTTGAAGGTGTGTAATTTTCCATCTAGAGTTCTGTAACAGGACAATTCAGTTTGAAATAAATATTTTCTAAGAAACATAGGAATGTGAGATGACCTTAGGATATAATTGATAAATAGAAAGGTAATATGAATAAAAATATAAGAAAACCCGAGACTATGACAGAAGCTCTACGAGACAGGGAAAAGGGCAACCAGCAGTATGGTAAGGTGGGAAGGGTGGAAGACGTACAAGAAAGTTGTGATCCAGCTATGACACTACAAAGTACAAACTAGAACAGGGCTTTGTTTGGGCTTCAAGAGGAAGAGAATGGATTCTAAGCATCCACTCTAATCAGAAGGAGCTGGAAAACTTTAAGACTATAGCAAGTAAGACATCTGGTCCCACAACAAGAAAAACTAGGAAACCAACATAAAACGCAAGGTCTAAATATGAAGCAAATTAAAGTGTATCATAATTTTCATGAATTGAGGATGAAGAAGATTAATGATTTTGAACATTTTCTTTTGAGTGGGACAGAGATCATAAACAGTGACACTGTAGAAGAAAAATAATCACAACCTACTACTTTGCAGTCAATGCTAGTTATGTAGAAATAATACAAATACTGCTTATTACCATTCCTCATTGTAAATTAACCTAATACAGAGCACAGATGTAATGACAGCTACGGCACAGAATGTAAATGCCATCAACTGCGACAATTAAGAAGCACCGTGAGCAGGACTTGGTAAGCAAAGAGGACAAGGAGAGGTGATGGGGGAAAGGTGCACCTGCTACTCTTCCTGTTGCCAATTAGAGAATCAAAATATACAGTTTATAGCTAATGGACAAGAAACAGAAGGATGCTATTTACTGTTATAATAATAAAAGAAAAACTAAAAAGCTATAAAAAAGGGTTGAGATGAGCTAAATCCTCACGTATTAAGAGATGGACGGATCAAGTCTTTGCATGTATGAAATGAATATGAGTGTGTATGAGACAGTGTTATAAGAATTACACTTAGAGAACATCACCAGACAGTGGCAGCCATGGCCAAGATCGCAGGTGAGGGCAAGGGCTTCGCAATGTAGTCGTTCACGGCGGGCCCTTTTTTAATCAGTAAGGAGCACATACCGTTGCTGTGATTAAAATATAGATACTAAAAAGCGCTAAATACGAACAGGGCGGTAATCATAGGTCATTTAGCGTAAAGACCCAAGGACACCACTTTATTTCAGCATCATGTAACAACTGGCCACTGTGAGGATGACAGAGGCAGGGAGTTATGCAGTGTATTTTTAGAATATGTGCAATAAAAATGGCTACGAACTTTTAAAGCTTTGGTGGTTAAATAAGATTTAATTCATTATAATTCACTGAAAAAGTATTTGCTGAGCAGCTAATAGTAGGAAGAGAGCTAATCTCCAAGGTCTCTGCTTTTAAGGAGTCAGTTTTTTAGTGGAAGACATAACGAATCACCAAATAATACATCGAAATAATTAAAAGCTAAAATACACACCGAGGAAACTAATACATGGGATGGTATCTCAGAAAATAAGGTGGATCTACTCAGATGGTACGGGCACAGTCCCTCAGACGAAGTGAAAGGAAAGCTCGCATCCCGGGGAAGAGAGAAGCCACTCATCTCTGAAAAGAGCTCGAGAAGGAACCTTTCAGGGAGCGGGACCAGCAGGCGCGGGAGCCTGGAGAGGGGCGGAAGGGCAGGTGCCGCCCCGAGGCTGGGGGATGGACCAGGCTGCGCTCTGCCGGCCAGGGGAATGAATGAACGCACAAGACCTGCACAGCGTACACCCGTCCCCCAGCCCCCACCTCCCCCGTCCACGTGACACGGGGCCTCAGTGCTCCTCTTCGGACACTAAGGTCACAACACAGCTCAAAGCGGGACGGAATACAGTCTTACTGGTAAGTAGTCAACAGCGGTTTTCAAAGAGAAAAGGTGTAATAACTGCCTTCGGTGAATGGCACCGACAATGGAGTTGGTCAGAGCCTCTGAGCACATTAATGAACCTTAGAGACCGATGCTGCCTTAAAAAATGTTTAAAGCATGGCACTACAATTAAGAAAATGGTATAGTTTTACTCATAAAAATATTTTACATAAAATTTTTACACATTTTTTTACTTTAAAAAAAGATTTATTTATTTATCTTTTAGAGAGGGAGAGAAACATCAATGTATGGTTGCCTTTCATGTGTCCCCTGCTGGGAACTGGCCTGCAACCCAGACATGTGCCCTGACTGGGAATCAAACTGCAATCCTCTGGTTCACAGGCCTGTGCTCAATCCACTGAGCTACACCAGCCAGGGCTTTTTTTAACTTTTTAAGCGTAACCTAGGGAAATAGCAAATCAGCAAAAACTGGCATTTTTTTGTGAAGACGTTTTAAGAAATAAAAATGCCTCATTTGAAAAAATATGCATGAAGAAAAGAATCAACTTTTAGCATTCACCCTATGTGTACAGAACCTAATGGAATGGCAAAAAAGAGATCATGTTGCATTTCCTTCTCTTGTATGTTAGGACCCAGCACTGACCGACTCATCCCTACGAAGTATACACATTCACACACGCATCCATCCACTCCACAAATACACGTTCATGCCAACAGTGTGTCAGGAGTGCAGGTGTGGACAGTAAGGCAAAGTCCCTGATCTCAAGGAGGATAAATGTCAGCAAGAAAGAGGAGCCTCACACAAGTAAACACAAGATTTCAGACAAGTACCTGAAGAAAATAATAAAATGGGGTAAAGAGTATAGATTTTCTTTGGATAAATTCCCAGCAGTGAAACTGCTGGGTCGTAAAGCAGTTCCATTTTTAGTTTTTTGAAGTAACTCCATAGTGCTTTCCACAGTGGCTGCACCAATACACCTCCCCGCCAAAAAACTCGAAAAACTAGTTTGAAAGAATATGGGCACCCCTAGGTTCACTGC